TTTATGCCCAATATTGAAGCATGGTCTGAGCTACACGCTGTGGGTCGGCCGAGGTGATGAGGAAGTGGGGGGCCGAGTTTAGCCCGACGACGGAGGGACATGAGGGCCAAAAAGAGCGGAGATCCAGGTGGATAAAGGGTCCCAGCGTTCTCGCGCACCTCGCTCTTCTAGCAGGTCAAACTTCACGAGTTGTTTTCCGCAATTTTGGTCATAAAAACAAAACAAGCCGGCCTCCTGTCTGCGGTCAGCTACAATTTGGGACAGGTGCAGCGGAGCGTCTGCAGAGGGGGCGGGGACTTCTAGAGCCGAGGTATTGCATTGCACTCATTGCACTGATTTTGTGCAGTATTTTTGCAGTATTTTTTGATGCAACTTTTCTACCTCTGTTTTTTGCAGTTTTTTCTCAAAAAAAAAAAAAAAAAAGCATAACGATATTATAGCTTTCATTGATTTATTTCAAATTTGAAACATTGTCTAGCCTGTAAGGTGTACAAAAAAAAAAAAAAAAGAACCAATTAATTGAATCGTATCGTGGTATATTCTTGAGTAGCGAAAATAATCGAATCGTTGGGTCAGGAAATCGATACTGAATCGAATCGCCATGACTGCTGTGATTTACACCCCTAGTAGGAGCCAGTTAAACATAGGTAGGTAACTCATGACACACTTTGAGTGCAAACATGGATAACTAGATCACCTGTGGGATTTTTCCCTATTATGGAAAATAAATGGAAAAGACCATAGTAACAAAATGGTTGTCAGAAATGTGCTGGTGCAGTTGATACATTCTATCCCTGCAGCTCAGTAAGGTTCATGTCATGTTCTGTGGAGATATAAAGCAAATGGCGAACGGGGGCCTTGTATTGATCCCTGAGGTACACCACGAAATAAACAACGGAAACAAACAGTTGTGCTGATTATGTAAACACAACTTTGTTCCACACTATTTAAGACGAAACAAAAAACAGCTTGGGTAATACAGAAGCTTATGTGAATTTTTTTTTAATGGATGAACAGGGTTCTTTGTTGTCAAAATAAACCCGATTATTCTGCTACTCGGATACCATAGAAAAAATAGAGGAGTAAACCTTGGTGTTTCTCATGTCTTTTGAAGCATGTTTGTGTCAAACCATTGCATTATCTTCATTTACCTTTCCCATTACCATTCTTTGTTTTTATATGTTTCTGAGAAAAAAATCCTTAAAGTTTATCCTTAAGTTTTTGTTGTGCTTGTGTGTACGTTTTTTTTTGCCTTTATTTTCTACTTCTTTAGTGAAAGGTTAGAATTCATAACTCCAGGATTTTTATTTTTTTCACTTCTGCTTTTGTTGTACATCTGAATTTCAGATTGCTTCTGCTGCCACTAATGTTGGAAAAGCGCCAGTAAAGCCGAGGAAAAATCCTCAGCATACAAGCCTGTTTTCTGATGATGAAGATATCCAGGTACTGTTTCCAGTGAGTGTGAAAAAAGAGAACCAAAGATAAACCTGATAATGCATTTTGTATTTTATTTCTTTTTATGAATTTTAGATTGCTGCTGCTGATGTTGGAAAAGTTCCAGTAAAGCCAGCCGAAAATCCTCAGCATACGACCCTGTTCTCTGATGATGAAGATTCTCAGGTACCATCTTCATAGACAAAAATGGAATAAGTCATATAATGCATTCAAATTACAACTTATATACTTTCTCCTCAGTTATTTCCAGGTATCACCAAGAGCCAGTCTAAGCCTGAACCTACACATGTGGCTAAAACCAGCAAGCCCCCGCTGTCATTATTTTACGATGAGGAAGAAGAGGTGAAAATAATTACTTTGCAATAGAAAAAGAAAAAGAAATTGCTTTGTTTAGGTGATATCACTACATGTTTATTTTTTTTGTACCTTCCAGGATCTGTTTGCATCTGCCTCCAGTTCGAAAGGCAAACCTTCCCAAGCTAAAGCCTCGGTACCACATCCCACCAAAGCTACATCCAGCTCCCTTTTTAGTGATGATGAGGTATGAGAATAGAAAAAGTACCATTTTCTTTTCACTGCCAGCATTTCCCTCAAATTGAAATAAATGTTTTTTTTTCTGAAATGACAGGATCAGTGGATGAATTCAAACAGTAGCACATCAAAGGCAGACAGTAAACCAGGAGGAATAAAAACCAGCACCAGTGCCCCATCTAATCTCCCAAGCTCTAAAGTATCTCCAAATAGCAGTCTGTTTGACGACAAGGATGATGACGATCTGTTTGCCCAGACAAAGACATCAAGGTTTATACAGTTTGAATCTCTTGACACTTTCCTACTAAAGTTACATTTGATTTAAAATATTTGTAGCTGAGGGACTTTATGTTACAAATCCTTACATCCCTTCTTGTACTGTTTCTCTTCATAAAGTCAAAAGAAGTCACAGAGGGTATCGCTCCTGTTTGAAGATGAAGGTGATGATGATGAAGGAAAAGACCCTTTGTTTGGCAATAAACCTGCAAACACTGGACCCCCACCTAAAGTGAGTGAACAAACATTTGTTGTATGATTAAAGGCAATTCAGGTTAACTTACACACATTCATTACAATCATTAACAGCAGCTGTATTATTAGTATATCTCAGTAATCAGCCTCATGTCAGAGGTTGGTGCAAATAATGAGCCATTTCCTCTCCATTTGTTGATTTAAAGGTTTTACTCTAACTCTTATCAACATTTTAATGGTCTTTCAGAAACAGAGAAATGGGTTTTGCAGCCATAAAGTCTGATTTACAAGACATAAAGTTAACCAAAAAAAGAGGTGACTTCAATGTTAGAAAAAGGAGGGAGGAATTTAAAGTCTTGACCCGCCTCTATATGAGACTAAAGCCAGTTGTTCCAGTTCCAGTTGTGCCAGAACTTTTTCGATCGTTTCAAGTTTCAGCCTTATCATGCGTCCTTCATCGGATAGTATACAGGGGGTAACGATGGTCAATTAGCTCTCCAGAGTAAGTAGATTTGTAACCCCGCCTTCTGCTCTACTGTCTACTGTCATGATTCATGCCGCTATGATTTCATTAAAAATGAAAAATGGGGAATAGATAAGCAGATCATGGCTTATCTATAGTGAAAAGAAGGACTGGGTTATTTACTTTTGTTGACACATTTTTGGAAACAGGAAGGAACAATCAGCTAAGTTAGAATTGGCTTAGTGATTGGAAAATATTTCATTCCTTATGAGACAGCATTAAAAGTCAGCTGAGCACATTGCATATATGAAAAGAAAAGGGGACAATAGAAAACATAAAGGAAAACAGCAAGAAAAGGGATAAGAAGAGAGAGAATAAAGGTAGAACAAATAATGTATGTCTGTTTTATGTGTCGTCTTCTCAATTAAGAGGGCCCCCTACCTGTCTTTGCCTAAGCCCCATATCTCCTAAATCCGCCCCTGCTTTTACTGTATCATGAAGTTAAGAAGTAGAAGTTGTTGCTGCTTACCTCTAGTTCACGCTATACAATTGACAGGCCATATTGGCCACGTCTACACAGCTATTTTCTGGTCTAAATACACTGTCTTCTGTTCTTTTTGAAGCTTTCAGCACACACAATCGAGTAAATTACCAAGGCAACGAGTTTAGCTTTGGTGACCCTCATGTTCCTTCTGTGTTGTCCGACTTTGTCTCCTTTGTCTTCTATTTCAAGACCGACGTGTTTTTTTGGACATAAAGTGTGAGCAGGTAGATTGCATCAGAGCATCGGGTCGCAGTGTGAGAACATGCATTGTGAGCTGTGAAGTTTTAAACCCTGCGGTTTCGTCGTACAGTGTGAGCTGTAGCTGTGTGCAACGATTGAAAAAAATCGTACAGTTTATGCCGAAGAAATGAGAATATTAACTGGAGCTGCTAGATTCAAGGACAGGAGACATCAGGAGCGGCTGATCAACCAATCAAAAGGAGACTTTGGTTTTAAAGTTTCATACTTTTCGTTTTTGGTATGGCTTCGAGCTGACGTTTTTTTGTTTAGATTTTGCATTAGTAATTTAACTTAATCTTATATTAAATACATATCTTTTTTGCACTTTAAAGAACACATTTTTGAAAAGACCCGCTCACTGCATTTAAAAAAAAAAAATGCAAATGCACAACCCTGTTCCCGCTCCCATGAGAGAATGCCTGTTAAACAGGTGTGAGAGCATGCACAAGCCCATTTCTCCATGTGAGCTCTCTGTTTCAAAGTTGCTGTTTGCATTGCTCATACAAGCTTACTCTCCAAGGAGAAGATTTGTAATTTTTCCACCATGTCAGACTCACAACAGGTGTTATGCCAAGAAATACCTGCCTGCTGAGAATGACCTACCCTCTCACACACTGATGAGAAACTGATTAAAATATGTACGAAAAGGGAACTTTTAAACATATTTTTAATGTTTTCATGTTTGTTATGCATGGATGCCCTGAAATTAAGAGTTTTGATGGACACATAAATGCCGAGAAATTCTTGCCTGCTGAGAATTACCTCCCCTGTCGCACGACCACGCATCGCCCTAAACTCTCGCACATAGATGAGAAAATGGATTGAAATATGAATAAAAAGGGAACTTTTAAACATATTCTTCATCTTTTGTCAGAAATGATACAGAATGTTGTTGATAGCAAAACTAGAAAATGCCGGCCACTGCGCAGAGATATATTAATTGGACACTGACTCTAGCACATCGATTAAAACGTCTCCATACAAGTAAAAGTTATACCCATTCAAATGTATCTGTCCACCAAAAGTCTCAATTTTAGGGCATCCATGCATTAGAAATATTAATAAATTAAGAATATGTTTAGAAGTTCACTTTTCATTCCTATTTCAATCCGTTTTCTCCTCAGTGTGTGTCAGAGGGGAGGTAATTTTCAGCAGCCAGGTATTTCTCAGCATAACAGCAGTAAGTGAAAATGGGGACGAGCACGTAGGACAACCTTACGTAAAAATATCACCAGAATGATTGACAATTAGGGGAACCACTTATTTTGATGATCCACCCGGTAAACAAACATCCTCCACTATACCATTAAATTTAGGCTTGAATTGAAATTATTTGATAAGCAATGCCTACTACTATCAGGTTTTCATTAGTTGCTTTCTCTTCTACTATATTTTTTAATGCTATTTTTTTTATTCTTAGTTTGTTTTAGAATGTTTAGAAAACATACAAGCACTCTGTGGGCCTGATCTTGAAACGTTTGTCCATATTAAAACACAAATGAATCTTCATACAAGATGAAAAGTGATTTTTGCGTTTAAAATCAGCAGGCAGTGAATGCAAACTTTGTTGAGTGTTTGTAGCTCTAACTTGTGGTAAATAGGATTTTTTTTCTCCCTCAGTTTTGTTTTAGCACATCTACATTTTATAAGATTATTATAAGCTTCCTTATATTGGGTCAAGCCAAGTTCTTAAATACAAGGTGTGCAACCATTTAAAAAGAGCCTTTAATTCCCACTGTCCAGCTAAAAAAAGGTTATGCAGTCCAAATTTAATTCATAATCCACATATTTTTATAATTTGCAGTAATATGGAACAATTTGTTTCAGTTATGGTTTTATGACAGCACTTTGTACAGATGGTAATTTATGGTTCAAAATTAAAATGATTACTAAGCTGTATTTGCTCTAATATGCATATTTAAAAGCACGTTATTTTCTTTATGCTCTTTAGTCAATTATTTAAGGGACCAATATGGAAGGTCCAAAGTGTCACTAGAGGCCCTAATAGGAGGCTTCAGGTCATGAACCTCTTCCTTAAATCAACAATCCCTCAGTAATCTGAGCATAGTGTTTCTCTGCTTTTTCTTGTTTAGCTTATTAACTGTCTGGTAACTTGTTGGATATTTGATTTTTTTTTTTTTTTTTTGCATTGCTTCATGTTTCTCTCTTATTTTACATAAGAGAGAAATATGAAGCATGTTGCCCTCCTTTAGCATGGAAAGTATGCCTAAAATTGAAATGGTAATTGAAACTTACAGTATTACCAAGCTGTGCTAAATCCAAAATAAAAGCCGGATTAGATTTAGTATTTCTTACTAAATTCTGCAGAGTCTGAAAGAAACTAAGAACCACAACTATTCCTGAAGGTCGAACTGTCTTGTGCATTATTAGTATTATTTATTCAGGCTTTTAAATTTCTAAATGACCAAAAGAAGAATAATCAGATGAAAGCACCCTGTATAAAGTGACATTTAAAAAAAACGACTTTTGAACATAATGCATTACATGTCCTACAAAGACCCTCTTTAAAATCTATAGATAAAAGCAGTTTGAAGGCTCAGGTTTGTGTGTTCATGCATTCACACGTCACTGTTTCATTATGTATAATTTCCTTAGATACCTGCAGCCACGTCACAGTCCCTAAAGTCAGAGGAGGTTTCAGTGTTTGAGACCCCTGCAAAAAACAAACCTGAAGTTCAGCCGAAACCGGCTGAAAAGAAACCCGAACCACTGCCAACTGTGCCATCACAAGAGAGCAATGAAATCCGAAAGAAGCCTGCTGGAGCAGTCAGTCTCTTTGGTGGCATCGACGTTCTCGGCAACAAGCAGACAAAGGATCCTCTGGACGAAGAAGATGAGGATGACATCTTCCTCTCGAAAGGCAGCCCCCCACCAATGTTTAGGACGGAGGAAAAGAAGCAAGACAAAGGCAAAACAAAAACTGTTAGCCTGTTTGATGAGGATGAGGAAGACGAATCAGAATGGAGTGATCCAATATTTCCAGCCAGTAAGCCCACAGCAGGAGAAACACTAAAGGTTTGTCTGTTTGTACCAGACCAGAGAGTGCAGCGAAACTGATCCATTGACGCTTCTGCATTTAAATTGTAATATTTTCTCTCAGCCCACAGAGGAGCAACAGCAGAAAACGAGCACAGGGGTTTTCCAGGATGAAGAGCTGCTGTTCAGTCAAACGCAGCAGAAGGACAATGACCCTGATGTTGATCTCTTTGCAGTTGCAGCAAAAACTGAGGTAGGCACATGTTTCGTTGTTATGCAAATTCAGCCTTAACAACCAGTTCTAAGTTCAGTTCTGAAATTAAAGTTTTATTTATTTATGCTCATATTTCACCACCTAATCATTATAAAGTAAGATTACTGTTCCAGCTGAAATGTATTATTGTTATTTCAGAATCACACTCAGACAGAATCAGACATACTTTAATAATCCCAGAGGGAAATTACTTATTTGAGTTTTTTTTTTTTGGCAAGTGTTTGCAACCTTTGCTGATCTCCCACTATGCAGAAACATCTCAAGGCTTATCCTGTGGTGATAATGATGATGAAAATGTCCTACAGGCTGTGCATAGGACTATTTTGTTCTCAAAGTTCTGCAAAATAAGCTAGTAAAGTCATTAATATATTTATGAACAACAATGTGGTTTCTCTCACCCTGCTATGCAACTAACATGTTCTTCTGTAGGCAGTTACAGATGTTTTCATTAAACAAATATCTTTGCTGAATTTTCAGAACTCTAAGGTCAGTGCGGTGAAACCAGTAGCACACAGTCTGTTTTCAGATGATGAAGAAGATGACATTTTCAAATCTGTCAAGGCAACTCCTCCCCCTCCGGTAACAATATGTTTTTATGAGTTGGAGAAAAATCCATCTATCCTTTTAATAAATAACTAAGCCTGTTTTTTTACTTTTGTATCTAGAAAGTTGCCAAGAAACCAAGTAACCCTCTTGATAAAGCACCACTTGCAAGCCCAGATCCTGTTTCAGAGATTCAGGTGACTATGAAATATTTTTGTTTTTATTTTATTATTGTTTTAATGATATAACATGGTGATAATTTAGTGATTTTTAGAAGTATTATTTGGTTTTTAAGTTTGCTAAATGTTTGTTTTTTCTCGGTTTAAAGTAGTTAAGTGCTTTTTTTATTTCTTTTATTTCCAAGAAATTGGAAATAGATTTTTTTTTTTTTTTTTTTTTTTTTTATGTTGGATACATTTCTGATCCTGTTGTAATTTAACCACACAGAAATCAGCAACAAGCCATGTAAAACCTAAAGATCCCTCATCAAGGATTGGGAAACTTCAAGTAATTTTCCCCTGCTTTTTTTATTTTTACTCAATCACAACCATTTTATTGCTAACCTGTCACTCTTTTTTTTCTTCTTTTTTTTCTGTTGTTGGGCAGCTCTCTATTATTGCTGCTCTGACACATTTTTCCAACTACTTTTTCATTTTCCATTCTAAAACGTTTCCTAAAGCTTAGTAGCCTGGCTTGTCTATCTGGAAAAACATTTTTCTTTTTTCGAGAAACGTTTTCTTGCTCCTCTTTGCAGTTTTGGCAGTTGCTGCTGTCAACTTTTGCTCTTGCACCATTTTCCTCCTCAGCTCTGGCTTCTCGTTTCTCTGAACCACACAGAGGAACTTAATAGTTACAGAAGTTATATAAATCTTTAGTCTTGGCTTTTTACAACTACTGAATTTTCTTGGTGAATGTCAAGTTTACTATCTTGTTAAAAAGAAAACCCACTTGATAAATATTGTTTTTTTTTTTAAACTTCAGGCTAATTTGATGATCAACCCTGCTGCTTTGCTCCCTGGTGCTGTGTCCAGCATGTCAGGGACTCTGAGCTCTTCGTCTGGGGTGTCCAGCTCCAGCCTGAGCCCCAGCCCCGTATCAACCCCCATAGGAGCACATGAAGAAAGTGAAGGGGGGGTGAGCTTTGATACACCAGTCCAGGTCACAACCCTCCAGAGTGCACACAAGGTGAGTTTGGAGTTTAGTGTCATGTATTGTCTTTTAACTGCCTCTGCATTTTCTGCAATACTAGCAAAAATCTCCTCACGCAGGACCGTGCAAAAGGTTCGGCTCTCCGAAGACCCCAGTCCAGAGCGGCAAGGCAGCAGGCGGTTAAAAAGTCGATGGGAGACAAGGTTCAGGGCAAAGGAGATGATTTTGGGCCAAGTCCGAGTGTTTCCAGCTTATTCGTACCCACATCTGACGAGTCCAGCAACAAACCCATAAGCCCAACATCACCTTACTCATCTCAACTTTCAACCTCACCCATGCCCTCACTTTCACAACAGTCTTCCTCTCAGACCTCCTCCAGGCCCTCGGAGCTGTCACTGCCAGTATCGGCAAACTCAGGAAGTAAAGACTTCAGTAAAGACAGCATCAGTACGAAGAAACAACTATTGTTAGAAGACGATGACCTCTTTGGTTCAGACAGTCTTTTTGGGCCTAAAGCGGTCCTTAACAATCCCCCCCCTAAAGATACCACCAAGGCCAGTGATCAAAAGGCTGCTAGTGAGGCAGCACTGAAGAAAGAAAAAGATCCCAGCAGTCTTCCATCTATTTTTGATGACAACACAGATGACCTGTTCAAAAAGGTTAAACCGCAGTCTGTGACAAAGAAAGTTAAGACATCGCCTTTTATGGATGACGATGATGATGATGACGACGACATATTTGGACTTAACAGCAGTAGCACTACTACACCCAAAACTAATAAGAAAATCAAGAATGGCAGTAGTACTTCAACACCAGACATTTTTCAGGTAGTATAACAGTTTTTTGTTTTTTTTTATTCTTGATGATTTTATTAAGGCTTCTGTGTGTCCGGGTTGGATTTGACTCCTCCTCTTGCTGAATTTCTTTTAAAGGACGAAGCCACCATTGTGCCTAAAGCTGACAAGAAGCTCAAAGAGAAAAGCATTGACGCTACCTTGTTTGACAACACTGTGGATATTTTTGCTGACCTGACAGACACTTTTAAACCAAAACAAAAGTCCAAACTAAAGGGAGAGACCAAGTCCATATTTGATGATGACATGGGTAAGCCTCAGTGACACATCCACAGCCTTCTGTGTTCCACATCTTCATGAACAATAAACTTAATTTATGTTATGGTGATTTTGAGTGATACACCAATGCACAACTAGTGATGCGTAATGGTTAAGTGGGGGGAAGACGATGTATCCTCCAAATATTTGTTCTAAGGTCCAACTACGTCCTCAGTCAAGCTCAGCAGCTCCCCACTCCCACTGTGAGCATTGTAAATGAAGCACTGCTTCCCCCCCTCTAAAGTCAGAAGACAATTTGACCAATAATTTTTTTTACAATAAATTAGTAATACCTAAGAAAACCTTAAAATATTGTTTAGAGTGTCATGTTTGGTTTACTTACATATTTCTAGACACTTATTTAAATAGCATCTTTGATTCTGTTGAAGAAACATGATCCATGCCAAGATTAAAAAAGGGGAGATTTAAGATTTTTTTAAGGAGCTTTTTTTAAACAAAAAATATATTTTTGTGCCCTTTTAATTATATATTTGTTTTATCCCTTTATTTTTACTATTGAAGCTCTTGAACACCATTTATGACTTACCCCTCCTCTTAATGATTATGCACAACTTTGTGTGAGTCTATCACATTCAATCTAGCAGTAAACTTGGACTTTTGAGGTTTAAATGTGACAAGATTTAACAAAAAAAGGTACCTTAGTGAGGCGCTATAGATCATCATTTGTCTTGCTTTTTACTTTTATTTGTCATATTTTAACATGTTTTCACCTCTTTGCACTTAAAGATGACATTTTTACAACAAGCACAGCAAAGCCGGTGCCGAAGGCCCCTGATAAATCAGAGAGAACTCCACCAGCCAAGGAGACCAGTACTGCATCGGATGCCAGCAACATATTTGATGACCCTCTTAATGCTTTGGGTGGGAACTAATGTGTTGGAGTGGCCTGAATTTGTATGATTTTGGATTTTTCTGCCTCTTCATTAGGCGATCAAGAAAAGATATCTGACGCACTGTTGATAGTATATTTATTGCTATAATATCATATCAGTATGTGGCTTATTCGTGTCTGATACAGACTATAATTAATATGATTCCATTCATCTTTCAGCAGTTTGCAAAATTATCCTGGCATCATTGGTAATATAACTGCTTAGTCTTTATAATACATTATAGCACTTTATAAGCATACATTATGCTTAGTCTCAAGGCCTGCAGAAATTAAGTTTTTGTTTAATTTGAGTTTTGAGATGTCATGTCTTTAGTTTTGTGCCATATCATTCATAATGTCTTAGTCATTTTTGAAAATGTTTTTAAGAATTTCATCCATTTCCTAACTTTGACGATGATAAAGACGATGATTTTTTTTAATGACTAAAATGAAACATATTTTATCTGATTTGTCCTGTCCATTATTTCCAAGGTAAGGGGGTGTTTAATTAGTTAGTTGGTGTCATTGGACCCATTTTATTTATTTATTTATTTTTTGGAAAGGTAGTTGATATCCAAATCCTTTCAGGAGAAACTTACACTTTACAGTCAAAGAGACACTATATAAACATATGGATGTTTAATATCAATGATACTGATGTTTTTAAACAAATGTATCAGTTACAGTAATGAAAAGACCTGTTTTAACCTGATAAATGTAATCATGGATAAAGCACATTATGCCTTGGAAGCCATAATATAACTTTAAGATGGAGATTATAACTAACCCCTTAACAGGACTATAAACAACATCCTGAAAACACAAACAGAAAACAGAAAAATATCCTGCCTCTTCTTCCACCAATTACCCCAGCTACATCAAAAATACTGACCTTCTCCAGAACTCCAGAAATTTAGGGAAGTCTCCTTACCGTGTTTGCAGAATATTTCTACACAAATATTTAAAAAGAGAAATGGAAGAAATCTGAATAGCTGCAGGAAAACCTAGACCCACCAGTAAGGTTAAATCCTTAAGGTTCTTAAACTCCACTAAGGCGACAATCACTTCCTCTTTTGTGGTTCCTGTAAATCTGTGATTGTAATGAGATGGAAGTCTTCCCCAGTAATTTACATGGAAACGAGAAGCCTTCCATATACGTGAAAGACTACTGGAGGTCTACTACTGCCTTCTCAGCCACTGCTAACGTGAAAGAGTTATGCCAGTCAAATTATGAAGACTGTTATTCTGATTCACAGAAGTTGGATTTTGATGGGGATGTGAAAGGAGGAAGTCCTTTCTGTTCAACTAGTATCCAGTGGTAAAACTGAAGTTTGACACAAAGAACTCAGATTGAGCCGCTGACTTCTGCAGGAACTTTTTTTATGGACAGACTTGTTCAAAATGTAAGAACTGGACCCCCTTAAATATCAATAGGCCACAAAGTGCGACACACTGGCTGAAAATGAAGAACTAGGAATTCCAGGGCTGAATCAGAACCCAAATCTCACTGAGAGGCATAACAGGCTGTAGCATGACTTCAATTTAGCCTTTTATGCTCTAATTCCTCAATTTCAGAGGTGAAAGTAAGATAAAGACAAACTTTTCTCAGACAGAAATCAGGCAATTAGTGGTTCTGTAGTTTTAATAGTATGAAATCCGGTTGAGCAGTGTCCCCATCTTTGCCCTCAGTTTAAAAATTTGTATTTTATTTATGTGTTGCTTAATGGATAAAATCTTCATACAAGTGCAATAATCTAAAAAACATTCCTCATAATCAACTAAATTGTGTCTTCATATTTTCACTACGGTTTAACAGTACTTTTAAAAGTAGGTTTATAGTAGTGTAAGATTTCTAGCCATCTGAATTAGCACAGTTTAGTTAAGTCGTAAATAAGGATGGATTTCTTTAGCCCCAGCCCATTTTGTCTTTCTCTATTGGCTCTTTTCTAAATCAATCAAAATACGTCATTGAGGTGTCGTTCAGCCCCGTTTGACAGGTAAAAGATGTCGCAAACCAACAAACAACGGCGACGCTCACAAATGTGTATCTTTCGGTCTGTTTCGGGATTAGTTAGACTCTAAAGTGATGTTGCTCAGCTCTCAGGGTAGCCTCGCCCCCAACGGCTAGAGCGGACGGACGGAGCCGAGGCCAGTTTGGATGTAGCCTAGCAGCAGCCCGTGAAGGGAAGCCATTGTTTAAGTTGTTGGCTAACATGGCAACGGCAGCTAACGTTAGCTGCCTCGGCTAGATGGGACTTACTGGTAAGTGGGATTTAACTAGAATATTCAGTTGAATATCGAGACGAAAGATTTAGTTAAAACGACTGCGTGGTAAAAACTGCCATATAAAATGTTTTTATTGAGGTTAAGTGATGAAATAACACACACAGGGTCGGAATTCATTCATGTCCTGTTTTTTTTTTTTTTTTGTTAGCAACATTTTTATGTCCTCCCACTTAGCTTTAGGTTTCCTTTGGTTGTGTTGCGGCCAAGCTCTTTAGTTTTCTGGGGTCGTTTATAAAACAAGCAGTGTTTAATAATGAAAATAGTTCTCTGATATGTTGACTTACATTGTTCTTTAGACAATGGGCCTGTTTTCAACTCAATAGCGCTTGTAATATATTTAAGGCCTCAACCCACTATACACAATCTAAGAAAAAGTTCATCTAATGTTTGGTTTGATTTTTATTTTAATTCATGAGTGTTTTTCTTTCTTCTATGTATTTTTTTGTGTGTTTTTAAAGATTTTTATCGCATTCCATTTAACGCATTCAGGTTATTTTGCAGATTATGGTTTATCTTGTCTTACTTAAATGCCACTCAAATGTGAGGTTTTGATTAAATACGAAATTATTTTAGTTGTTTGGTTAAAATGTAAATTTTAAAGGAACTTTTTTATGATTTTTATTTTAATGACTTTTGTAATGTATTAATGTAATGTATTAATAACCAAATATAAAACTCTTGCAAAAGGTAAAGACAAAAGTTGTTTTTTTTTTTTAAGGGGGTTACTAATCTGACTTTTCCTTGCAAGCTTTGATTGAGATGGTTTTGAATCCAACAGAAAGTGAATGAATAGATGTTATAGTTTCTGTCCCATTATTTATCTGATTTCGCTTCTTTCTGTTAGTCTCAATGTGTATCAAAGTTAGAGATGCAAGATATGAAAGCAATTCAAGATTAATATTGGTTTACTTTACCTTATTTGAGCTGCTGATCATCAATGAGAGCTGATTATTGAACATTTGGCCTTTTTGTTTTCTCTCTGATTTTATCTTGTCTTTTAATTATAAATAATGGTTGGCTGGGGCAATATTATATTTTTTTTATTAATAACAATTTAAAATTCAAATATGCTTACATGTGACCAACATTAAAATGTTAGAACTCAATTAAAAGCATGTTTGTCGTGCTCTACTGTCCCAATAGTTTACATCATTTACTACTTGTTTTATTCAAGGGACACACAAGGTGATCCGTCAGTGGCTCAGGTCAGCCATGGACACCTTATACCAGTGAGCTTATGCAGCTCACCTGATCTACTTGAATTTTGGCCCTGGGGCATTAATACTTTGCTCAATGTTTCATGAGAAATTTCAGTCCATTTGCTGCCAGATGTACTATACCTGAATGACATAACAAAATCCCTGTTAAGTACCTGGAGAGTAGTTTCAATGCAAACAAAAAATGAAACCAAAGCCTTTTGCACTTACCTTATCCACACTTATCATTTTTTACTGCATTGAAATTAAATCAATAAACTAGGCTTGTCCCGATCCGATCCACGTATCGGATCGGGACGCCGATATTGGCAAAAAAATGCGTATCGGCAAAGCATGTAAAATGCCGATCCAGACTGCCGATCCAGTTTAAAAAAAAAATCCGATCCGTATTTTCCAGTTTCGCCGATTGAAACGATCCATTCCACTATTTTGCGCCAGTGTTCCCCTGTTTTGCATTTTTATTAAAACTTACAGTAATACTTGCACCTTTAACTGTTTACGGTTTTACTGCTCACTGTGCAATTTCAGATTGCTATTCATAATTTTATCCAGTTTGTGTTTATCTCTTAATAAACAGGTAAGTTTGTTGTTACCAATCATTGTGTTTTATTCAATCTCACCTAATTTAGCTGGCTAGATGTTATCAAAAGTACTAAAACCCTTTTCAACATGAGTCTTACAACTAAGGCTAAATACTTTAACTTAAACTTAAATACATGCTCGGATAGGCTGGTATCGGCCAGTATCGGTATCGGATCGGAAGTGCAAAAACCTGGATCGGGACATCTCTACAATAAACATAGTCTATAGTCTACAGACTAACTTAAATAGACATTTAATCTTTCCTTTAAGAAAATAGGGTATAAGAAAAAGTTTTGAGCATCGACCACTGTCGGCAAGACGGTATACCATGAAAATTGTCCTTTATAAAATGAATTAAAAACCACTGATCAAATTTCTAAAGTGGTGTGAAAAGGCTAAATCCAAGCCTTTTCACACCACTTAATGGATGCTCACACTATCAATTAAGGAAAACGGACAGATGCCTTTTTCACTCTGACAGATATTTATGTCTTTACTTACAGCTGAGGTCCTCCTTCATGATGCTTGTCTATAGCGGGTGGAGGCAGCAGTCCCTCTCTCCATCACCTTGGCTCAGCCTTACCTCTCCATCAACCCTGTAAAGTGCGTCTGTCGTTCTCCCACGATGACAAACAGGAAAGAGCCTCCTTTCTTTAATGACGACAGCGTGGGAGCTTTTCAGTATAAGCTTCCATTCTACGATACTATGGAGCTTTTCATAGAGACCCTGACGGGAACTTGTTTCGAGCTGCGTGTATTGCCCTTTGAAGCTGTCCTTTCAGTCAAAGCGAAGATCCAAAGGCTGGAAGGTACAAGCCTCACTCATTCAATGTTTCCATGTTTGTCTACTTTTAGGAGAAGTTGTATATTTGTTTTGTAATTAATAAAATAATTGTAATCACAACCTGAGAAAAGAATACCAACTGCATGAATTAGTAACCCTAGTTTCTCAGTGTCTTTAGGATATGCATGTTTGCTTTGTCTGTGCCTTATGTTAAATTGAAGCAAAGCGTTTTACAATGCATAATGGCTCTTGGATTTGATCTAAAATTGATTTTGTAATTTTATAGTTGATTTGTTAAAGATGAAGATAAATTTAGGTTTCAAGTTTTTCAAAGTAGTTTGCAACATTGGGAAGTTTTAATTTGCTTCTGATACTCTAACTTTCTCAAGCTTTGAATTTTAAAGCACTGCAAATTGTGTGTGCCTGTTGAAGCACACCATATTACCAAGTGTTCTATTGGTGTTAAAAAGCCAAAGGTGATTTTAATTAAAGTAAAAGGTAATTGCAACATGGCATGAATAAAAAATATATATTTATATATTAAATATACTCTTCTGACCAAAAAACAATTTTATA